AGTCACGGGGGGGAAAAAAAGAGAAAAAAAGAAAGAAAAAAAGAAAGAAGAAGAAGAAGAAGAAGAAGAAGAAAGAGAAGAAGAAGAAGAACCCAAACAGTTTCTAATGTCGAGGGGAAGGGGGAAGGTAAGAGGAGGAAGGTAGGAGGAATAAAGGGAGAGGGGAAAGGAAAGAGGAAGAGGAGAAGGAAAGACAGCAAAGGAAGGGGAAAGAGGAAAGTGGAGAATAGATAGAAAATGAGAAATAAATGGGTAAGGAGTGAGAGGTATGATGAAAGAGAAAATGAAACAGATGAGAAAGTTGAAGAGGAGCAGGAAGTAAAGAAGATAAAAGTAGAAGAAAGGAGAGCGACAAAATTAGAAGTAAGAAAAACAAAAACAAAAACAGGAACAACAACATAGAAAAGACAATCAAGACACGGGAAGAGGGAGAATAAAAAAAAGAACGAACGAGAAGGAAGCAGCCATAAAAAGGAAGGTAGAAAAGAAGAATAACAAAGAAGGAGAAGGAATGACTTCGGAGACACCTTTTTGCCGCCCAGGACCAGCCAAGCGCCCGCGGTCGCCAGGGGGAGCTGCGGCGCTGGGGCGTTATAGTGACTCTCAAGATAGCTTTATTGTATCTTAAGGTTTATTTATGCTCTTATATCTTAAGGTGTATTTCAGTTTTTATGTCTTAAGTTTTATTTCTGTTCTTATATCTTAAGGTTTATTTCTGTTCTTATATCTTAAGGTTTATTTCTGTTCTTATATCTTAAAGTTTATTTCAGTTTTCTTGTGTAGAATTCTTGTTCGAATGCCTGTGCCATGTGTCTGTTACTATTGTCTCATACACATACCTATTGCTCATGTCCTTTGCCTAGTAGTTTTTTATCCGTGCAGTGTGCGATGTTGATGTTAGTGGTGATAGCGATGATGGTGATGTGTGGTGGTGGTGATGATGATGATGATGATGATGATGATGATGATGATGAGGAGGAGGAGGAGGACGATGACGATGATGATGAGGAGGAGCATGAGGAGGAGGAGGAAGAGGAAGAGGATTATGTTGCTGTTGACGATGATGATGATAAGGATAATTACGATAACGAAGAACAAGATAAAAAAGAAGAAAACTAAAAACACAAATATGTTAAAAGTATATGGGAAAGAGAAAAGATGAATAGGAACTGAGGGACAGGAAAAGAAAGGAAGAGGGACGAGAAGAGAAGGGAGGGAATGGGCGTAGGATAACAAAGTTTTTTTTTTCGCCACGTGTCAGCAATTAGCACAGAACGAGTGGGAGTAATTTCGATGTCCAGAAGCTAACTGTTTCAGCCTTGAGCTTCGTCTGAGGACCAACTTGCATATATATATATATATATATATATATATATATATATATATATATATACATATATATATAGACACACACACACACACACACACACACACACACACACACACACACACACACACACACACACACACACACACACACACACACATAATATAGATGAATATAGATAGATGAATATATTTATTTATATGCGTGTATCTTTTTTTTTTACTTCTATCTATTATCAAAATCAAGTTATAGGATACCCTGTAAAAAGCCATCTTGCTGACCAGATTCGGCCAGAATGCGGCGAGGACGACCTGCGGGGACGACTCGCCTGGCCTTTCGGAGGCTTCGAGACATTCCCGAAACAGAAGGGATTCGCTCGAGACCACTTGATGTTTACACGCAAGGCCGGACTTGTGTTAGCAGTCAAGAGGAGAGGCTAGAGTTACTTGCCCGACACTTAGTTAATAAGATGTATATCAGAGGCTGCAGCAGAGTAGCATCTTCTCTCGCTCCCAAGAAACAAACTGCCTCCTGTTGCTCTCACCAAAAACTCTGACAAGATGTGGGGTTTTGGAAATGCGATTGACTCTATCTGTTAACGACACTTTAAATGTTTTAGGCGTACATTCATTCTTTGTGGACTCCAGAGTATGCAGGAGCACAGGACTGCTGCGTTGTCTACTTACATCATTGTTTCATCGGGTAACGGAACCCAGCAGCGGCCGCCCCCCCCCCCTCTGAGGATAAATGGCCGTAAAAGTTCCTTCCTCCCAAGAGAAGCATTTTCCTCCTGCTATTTCTTCCTTCCCCTCCTCGATAGCCTGCACAAGCTCTCCTACACCAACATGTACACAAACCACTCTGTGCTCCTCGCTCACCTCCAGTAAAAACCCGAAGCTGTCATACCTCAGCTGACGCATGCATTATAGAAAAGTCATATTAAGCTAGACGTGGTAAACTGAACTTCGGATCTCGTGTATCTACAAGGCTAGAGAGGGGAGAGGAGAAGTCTACGTAAGCTGGCCGTTGTTCGTGCTGATGAAGGGTGCTCGGGGATCTGAAGGGCAGGCGGCGGCAATCAAGTAGAGGCAGAAGTAGGGAAACAGGAATTGGCCGTGTCTGGTATATTGTACAGCCTGCCGCCACTCTAAACAAAATGTAGTAAACTGACGTTCATGATGAGAGAACTCCATTCATGAGGAGATTCAGGTAGCAGGACATGTGTGGCTGGCGTCACTCGTGGTAGCAGCCAAGCAGGAACAGGTGGTCGTACAGCGTGGTTTTCTTGAGCGCCAAGAGAGTGCCAGACAAGACACGCCCGAGCGCTCTCACAGCTGGTTCTAGTCAAAGTGACCCGGCCTAGGTTAGGTCAGAAATGTTGCCTGCTTGCTATTTTACAGGGTTTTGTTGAATGAAGTGTGAGACCGCGTATTTTCTGTTAAGCATTGAGTGATAGATCACAATATAACGAGGTTGCATTGCTAGCAGCAAACACCGAACTGGAGCACAATGATATATCTTGCAAACAGTGATCGTGTGACGGCAACAGTGGAATTGAAATCGCCATAACAATATTGGGTTTCACGAAGGTCAGGTCGAGGTTCCGTTCCACTCGTGACTTTTGAGTCGGTTCCTATGAGTGTACATAAATACAATGTATACTGTAAGAGCCTATTACACTCTCATTTGGAACTTAAAAGATCCGATCTGAATACGGGTCTTTTAGCTGTTTTATACTATTTTTGTATATATCAGAAGAAAAAAACATCATAAACATGTCTTTTATATAGACTCAAACGATGCTTGACTCCAACCGGATCCCATGTTTTGTGTCAAGTCCCCAGTGGCTTACTTGTTGCACTAAACCCATGGCGGATGGAGAGAGAGAGAGAGAGAGAGAGAGAGAGAGAGAGAGAGAGAGAGAGAGAGAGAGAGAGAGGGGGGGAGGAGAGAGAGAGAGAGGAGAGAGAGAGAGAGGGGGGGGGAGGGGGGAGG